AACTCCTTCCTTCAAAAGAACCTTTTTACTAGGGAGTACAAACATTTGTTCTGAAATACAGCTCATTTTCTACCGCATGCTTCTACTGAAGGTAATGGATTTCTGGCACTGACTTCAGGGAAAGAGCAACATAATGAATCTACATGAAAAACTCGGCACCCAATTCTGTTACAAGTCAAACTACTCAACCATCACTCCATTAACTTTATTGGGAAGAACCTGGTTGATTAGTCAAAAAAGGACATTTTTTACTTTCCAATAAAAACGTTATTTACCGTAGGTAGAGGTTGACAAATAAGATTAACTACATACCATGTATTCAGTAACATGAAAAAGCTGATGCACTCATACAGCTGGTGATGATCTGTTTAAAAGATCATACTGAGTGTCTGACTGACAGTTAATAAGAGGAAAATGGGTGTAAGACTGCTCTTTCCTTGAACATGTAGCTTTACCTGGCAAAAAATATGAGCTCAAACAGAAGGATAAGTGAACCACTTTCACTGAAAATAACTTGAGAAATGTACTCTGGCCTTCTTACATTTCACCTTTGCACTTGGATCCTCTTTCTGCACCTCAACTATTTTGGATCCAAGACAGAAAAGACTTCAAAGATGAACCATGACACTAATAGCAAAGGAAGAAACCCCCAAACAATGTGGGACTGATCACAAACATGCGTTCTACAGTATACTCAAGAAACAGCTATTCTGATAGCAATGATTGAGGCACGAGTAAAAAAATACCAGGTACATGTAGAGCACAGCATTCTGAAGTGAGTTAGGCTCGTGATTAAGTATGGCACACAAGTGTATGTATTCCATAAAATAAAAGGAAGCAAACAAAACATTGAAGGTTTGCTTCTTTTTTTTTTCCTTGAAAGAAAGCAAGAAGAACTTAAATGGGAAGACAAGGAAGACTGAAAGTCATGTTTACTCACTGTCCAGTCCTGGTTGACTGATTGTCATCAGCGATATGGATTTGGTCAGTGGAGAAGACACGGCAGAACTACAGAAATTAAATCCATGAGGCTGGGATCTTTGGTGTATCTGTGGAATAGAGAACAACAGGTAAGTCAAGTACAAGGCTCTCTGTCCAACCACAGACTACAGGCCTGGCACTCAAGTTTACTGGTGGCCCAGCAGCAGCAGGCCATCCCTTTAAATTGTGGAACATTAAAATCCCCAAGAGTATCTGGTCCAAGGTAAGACGGTATGACAGAAACATGGGAAACTGCAGTATGACAGACATGAGGAGTTGTAAGAGTGAAATGTAGTGTTATTTTTTCAACTGGGAGAGAAATATGAGAATGCAACAAAAATAGGAGGTAGGCACAGGCTCCCTTCTTCTCTGGCAGGCTACTAACATGTATGACTTTGACTGATGACCAGTTAGATGAATGCTCGGATTTCAACCCCTCTAATGAAAGGGAGCTGATTGTACACGATGCAGATCCAGCTATCAGGATAGGTGGTAGTAGTAGCGTACTTTCAGTGAACACCATTCAACAAAACACTGACTGTGGCACAGTAATGCCACCTCCTGTGGATCAGCTCTCATGAGACCTGCCTTTATCTTCTAACCTTGGGAAATGAGACTCTATCCAATCACCCCACTCAGCAACCCTTTCATTCTGGAGAAAGAGATGCTCTGTCATACATGCTGGAGAACTACTATGGTGAAAAGTAGTACCTTTTGTGTATTTAAAGTGTTTATGACTCCCAGGGCCTTTGAAAAGGACCAAAGATAGATGGCCGTACATCTGGCCCACCTCTTCTGATTGAACCATTACTAATTCCCCGCTCTCCAAGAAAGTATTAACAAATCTGTGTAAACCTCCATTTTCTTTACTACACTCTGTTGGTTACAGAAGTAAATGGAGTACATGTGGTATGAAAAGAGAAAAGGTCCTCCCCTTTCCTTATATGACACTGGTATAAACCTGACCACTTTAACAGATAAAATGATACTTGGCCCCTTTATATGCCTCATATTTTTAAAGGCACAAACACAAACACTAAATGCCTAAATCTCGTAAGACCCCTACGGAAGAATTATCATCGTCTTTATTAGGCAAAAGTGACATAATCTTCCCGGAGGTGTTCAGGCAGTCAGTGGCAAAGCACTTAAGAATTTCTTGTTTCCCAGTTTTAGTTTCTAGCCCATCAATGACTTCTCCACGACTGAGGAGCAAGACTGTTTTAGAAGAAGTAAAGACAGGGGAGTCTTTCAGCTTCCATTTTGTGGGTCTCTGGGCTAAGAGAGGCCATCTGTCATTTATGATTAACACAAAGTGAAGCCCTAGCAGTGAGGTCCACACCTGGGAAATGCGTGGTTTCCCTTGATTTACCAAACATGAACAGACATAGGCCTTTACCTGATGAACAAACCCTCTGAGTTCCCCATGCTCAGATTCAAGTTCTTCTTCAGTGAGCAGGACTGAGGACTCTTGCTCATCGCTGGCGAGTGGGCTACGTCTCAGGTCTTTGGAACTCAAGGAGGAAGTTTCTAAATTTGAGGGGGGCTTCTTGATATCGTCAGAGTCGCCCGCAAGGCCTTCGAGGCTGTAACTGAAGACATTCAGCAGAGATTAGACCCTTAACGTTCTTAACATTTAATGTATAACCTTGTGTCTGAACTGCCTTCATGAACCACCTTCTAATTCCAATGGGACACCACCCCTAAGCTAACAGTAAAGTGAAAACACGGATGTTATTCCCTCTGTGTCACTTTGCAGTGTGACCTAATTCAGGTAGCAGCTCCTGCTTATATTCCCTTCAATGCAGACAACAGTGTCTTGGTACCATCAGGCAAATAGTTGCCTGAGAATAATGGATTAACATGTGAACGTATTACTGGATTTGCTCTCTTTCTCTCGTTAATGGGTCAAATACAAAACCTGGAATGTTCATTTGAAGGTTCACTTTTTCTTTGCCTTGCACAATATGCCAGCTTACACCTCTGAGATGCGGCTCTATTTACCTGATGCTGTTTGCACCTGAACAGTTGTTCTACAGTGAAAAGTTTTACACCTTCCAGTGAAGCTGCTGTTTATAGAGAGCAATATATGTAATGTTAACACCTGTCTTTGCAGATATGTTCCTTGATGCTGTTTATTATTCAATACTTCAGAAGGGCTTGGCAGAATGCAGGGCACTAGTGACAGAGTTTAATTATTAAGCGATCCCCTTCAGACAATGACTCACATATTTATCTTTTTTTTTTTTTTTTTTTT